CAAGAAAGCCAAAGAAAGCCAAGGAGGCGGGATCAGAGGGGAGAGTATAAATAGGAGGCTCAAACACAGAGCTCTTCAGTATGCCCTCGCCTGAGGAAGAAGAAACACCTTCGAAACGTCGCGACAAGGGCATACTCAATTATTTTTTTCTATTTTACGTTAGTTTGTTGTTTTAGTTTGTTATTTTTGGGGGATTTTATTTCATGTTTTAATTCATCTTTTATTGATTTTCCTTAAAAACTCAAATTGGAGAGAACTCAAAACTAAATTAAAACCACATAGAAAACAAATTGGGATTGAGAACACTTTATTGGAAACAAGCCAAAGTAACGGAAAAATTGGGAACCTGCAAAACAAAGAATACCTACCTTTGAAAACCTGTAAAAAAGAAATACTTACCTTTTAAGTTAAAAAAACAATTATGGAGGTAGAGGGATGTGAGCCTGCGGACCATCGGGGTTGATGGCCCGTGCACCACCTGTTCCTCCTTCGGGAGGGACGGGTTCTTTTCTTCAATCCTAACCAGCCAGTGCCTCGCTCCGGTTGGTCTTTGGGTCTCACTCCTAGTTAAAGCTCAATTTAGCATTTATGCCCTACCCCAGTCATTTACCCTAACCCTAACCAATTTGTTTATCTCAAATTACCCACCCTAAAATTGGAATCTAGCCCTATTGTATATACCCCCTGATCTAATCTGGCCCTAAAATCTTTATAATTTTGAATAATCCCATTTCTACTTCTTTCCTGGAAATTAAATCTTAAACCTTACCCCAGTACTGGATCTGAAGCCCAAGTAGTCCTAATCCCAGCTGAAACCTAAAGCCTAACCCAAAGTCACATCTCCTTTCTAAATTTACTCCCCAAGTCGGGTTGAGTCCTCCCCAAGCAGGGTCGAGAGTGTAGTATTAAAGCCAAGTCGGCATTGTAGTAGCCCAAAATTCGGAAGAGAAAGAGGTCAGATGTAGGCCAAAAGGAAGGGTAAAGGGCAGAGGTCAAGAGAAGGGAAGAAAAGGATGATGAAAAGGGAAAAGTCAAAGGGGAAAGAGGAGAAGACTGGAAAAGAAGAAAGAAAGAAGAAGGGAAAGATGAGAGCCAAAAAGTCTGGCAGAATTGGAAAAAAGCAAAAAGCTGAAAAAAAGTTTACAAGAAAGCCAAAGAAAGCCAAGGAGGCGGGATCAGAGGGGAGAGTATAAATAGGAGGCTCAAACACAGAGCTCTTCAGTATGCCCTCGCCTGAGGAAGAAGAAACACCTTCGAAACGTCGCGACAAGGGCATACTCAATTATTTTTTTCTATTTTACGTTAGTTTGTTGTTTTAGTTTGTTATTTTTGGGGGATTTTATTTCATGTTTTAATTCATCTTTTATTGATTTTCCTTAAAAACTCAAATTGGAGAGAACTCAAAACTAAATTAAAACCACATAGAAAACAAATTGGGATTGAGAACACTTTATTGGAAACAAGCCAAAGTAACGGAAAAATTGGGAACCTGCAAAACAAAGAATACCTACCTTTGAAAACCTGTAAAAAAGAAATACTTACCTTTTAAGTTAAAAAAACAATTATGGAGGTAGAGGGATGTGAGCCTGCGGACCATCGGGGTTGATGGCCCGTGCACCACCTGTTCCTCCTTCGGGAGGGACGGGTTCTTTTCTTCAATCCTAACCCCCCCCCCTAACCCTAAACCCCCAAACCCTAACCCCTAACCCTAACCCTAACCCGTTTTTTTGATTTTCCTTAAAAGCTCAAATTAGAGATACATCAAAAATAAATGAAAAAACCACACAGAAAACAAATTGGGATTGAAATCACTTTATTGGAAACAAGCCAAAATCACGGAAAAATTGGGAACCTGCAAAAAAAGAATACCTACCTGGGCAAACCTGTAAAAAAGAAATACTTACCATTCAAATTAAAAAACAATTATGGAGGTAGAGGGATGTGAGGCTGCGGACCATCGGGGTTGATGGCCCGTGCACCACCTGTTCCTCCTCCGGGAGGGACGGGTTCTTTTCTTCAACCCTAACCAGCCAGTGCCTCGCTCCGGTTGGTCTTTGGGTCTCACTCCTAGTTAATGCTCAATTTAGCATCTATGCCCTACCCCAGTCATTTGCCCTAACCCTAACCAATTTGTTTATCTTAAATTACCCACCCTAAATTTGGATTTTAGCCCTATTATATATACCCCCTGATCTAATCTGGCCCTAAACAATTTGTAATTTTGATCCTTTAATTCTACTTCTTTCCTGGGAATTAAATCTTAAACCTTACCCAAGTACTGGATCTGAAGCCCAAGTAATCCTAATCCCAGCTAAAACCTAAAGCCTAACCCAAAGTCACATCTCCTTTCTAAATTTACTCCCCAAGTCGGGTTGAGTCCTCCCCAAGCAGGGTCGAGAGTGTAGTATTAAAGCCAAGTCGGCATTGTAGTAGCCCAAAATTCGGAAGAGAAAGAGGTCAGATGTAGGCCAAAAGGAAGGGTAAAGGGCAGAGGTCAAGAGAAGGGAAGAAAAGGATGATGAAAAGGGAAAAGTCAAAGGGGAAAGAGGAAAAGACTGGAAAAGAAGAAAGAAAGAAAAAGGGAAAAATGAGAGCCAAAAAGTCTGGCAGAATTGGAAAAGCTAAAAAAGATATTATAAGAAAGCCACAGAAAGCCAAGGAGGCGGGATCAGAGGGAGAGTATAAATAGGAGCCTCAAACACAGAGCTCTTCAGTATGCCCTCGCCTGAGGAAGAAGCAACACCTTCGAAACGTCGCGACAAGGGCATACTCATTTAATTTTTTCACTTTTACGTTAGTTTGTTATTTTAGTTTGTTATTTTGGGGGATTTTATTTCATGTTTTATTTCATGTTTTTTTGATTTTCCTTAAAAGCTCAAATTAGAGATACATCAAAAATAAATGAAAAAACCACACAGAAAACAAATTGGGATTGAAATCACTTTATTGGAAACAAGCCAAAATCACGGAAAAATTGGGAACCTGCAAAAAAAGAATACCTACCTGGGCAAACCTGTAAAAAAGAAATACTTACCATTCAAATTAAAAAACAATTATGGAGGTAGAGGGATGTGAGGCTGCGGACCATCGGGGTTGATGGCCCGTGCACCACCTGTTCCTCCTCCGGGAGGGACGGGTTCTTTTCTTCAACCCTAACCCTAACCCTAACCCTAAAGAGGAACAGAGAGAAAAATAGAAAAAAGCTAAGTACAGCAAAATTAGAAAGCCAAGAAAAAACCTAAGTAAGAAGAAACAGAAAAATATAAGACAAGAAAGTCAGAAAGAAAAGCTAAGAAGAGAAAAAGTATAAATAGAGGACAAACCAGTCCCTACCCTCATTGAGCCCAGCCTGATGAAGGCGAAGTAACGCCGAAACGTCGCGACGGGCTCAATAGAAAAACTAATGGCCACTACTACCCAATGATGGGCAATTTTTTGATCCGGGGGCATCAGTGCCCACCCCAGTCGAGTGAGCGTGCACCAGGGGACCCAGACTTCGGCCTGGGACCCCTTTCTTTACCCAAACCCTAACCCTAACTTCAGCTTCCTCATCAGCTGCCGCTTCAGCCTCGCCTGGTCCAACTTCAGCTTCCTCATCAGCTGCCGCTTCAGCCTCGCCTGGTCCAACTTCAGCTTCCTCATCAGCTGCCGCTTCAGCCTCGCCTGGTCCAGCTTCTGCTCCAGCCTCCGCTTCCGCCTCGTCTGGTCCAGCCTCCGCTTCCGCCTCGTCTGGTCCAGCCTCCGCTTCGCCTGGGGCTGCAGGGGCCACGCAGCCTTCAGGTCCCCTACTACCACCTCCACATCGTCGGTCATCTGCCAGGCCGCTTGTTGGGCATCGCCCGTGGACGCTAACCCTCCGTGTTAGGCTTGCCCCGCACGGCCCCCAGATGTCCACCCGCTGTTGCCTCCAGTCGGCCCAACTGTTCGCCACATCTGGTCGGCCTCCGGACGCACTGCCCTGCACTGTCCTCGGAATGTATGTTGGCCTCCTGCGCTGTCGGTCCCCTGAACTTGGCCATCTGGGCCTTTTTGGACTCTGTCCCTCCGTCCTGGGCCCCCTCCGCCCGCCCTGGTCGGGTCGTTTTCTGTTTGGCCTGTTTTTGTGTTTCTGCTGGGCTGTCTGGAGCCAGCCCTTGAGGGGGGGGTACTGTCATGGTCCTGAGTCTGAGGACTCAGTGTTTTGTGTTTCCTTATGCTTTTGTTTATTCCGAGTGTGTTTTCTGTTGTGATTTTGCCATTTGTTAGGTTTTTGTTCTTTGCCTGCCTGATCCCACTTCTCTGTGTTCCCTCTGTCTGTCCATGGTGTTATTGTGTCTGCTCAGGAGTCTGCCTGTCAAGTTCAGTGTCCTGTCTGGTTCTCTGTGTCTGTTAGTTTCCTGTTTTATTCTGAAGGTTCATGTCTGATGTGAGTGTGTTCAGTTTACATTTCCCCTGTCCCGTCAGCTCTGATTTCTCCCAGCTGTGTTGCCCTCCTGTCTCTCATCCCCTGATTACTGGTGTGTGTATTTAAGCCCTGTGTGTTCTCCTGCCTGTTGCCGGTTCGTCTGTATTACTCCATGTAAGTCCGCGCTTTTCTGCATTCATCTGTGGCTCTTTGCGGTTTTTTGTATCCTCCGTCAGTCTGCGTCTCTCTGCCTTTCACCCCGTGTCCTGTGGATTTCTAGTTGATCTTTAGTTTTCCCAGTTTAGGTTTCCGTTAGTTTGTCTCATTATTCGTTTTCTGTTCCTGCCACTGACACCTTGTAAATAAACTCCACTAATCTTTTCATACACTGCTTGCTCTTGGGTCCTTTTTTCCAACTCCACACGGCTCGCCTCGGCAGCCGTGACACGTTAGGGTTATTCAGTCATTTCCAGTGAACCCCGTTTTAGAGCTGGCTATAGCCTAATGTAAACCATTTAAATCTTTAAAGAATAATTAAAACATAATTCTAATAGCATACCCTTTTTTATCTTTTGACTGATTTCTAAACATTAAAGATACCATTTGGTCCAATTACTTGATTGAAACATTAATATTTTATTATTTATTTTATTAGCATAGAACCATATACAATATCAAACATGGAATTTACTATTTAATTCATTACACCAATATTATCTCAAGGCTGTGTGCATCACATAAAGGTCTACTGGGAGGCTTCACCTGGCTATCAAAACCAGTTTGATGAAGGTTTACATTTTCTAGAGTATAAGAGTAATTTTTCTGAAGCCTAAAAAAATAATTGCAGACTGGTTTGTTAATACCTTCTATTTGATGAAACACTTAAACCGCTGACAAAAAATTTCCTTATTTGCTTTTTTTTTTTTCTTGTAACCAAATTTTCAGATAATATGCCATACACAAATCTATGCGTAACACACAAAAAATTCTTTATTTGTCATCTTTAGTATATGTACTTTGAATATTTAGGATTTTCATGCAGCATTTGCACTACTTTGTGTGCCAAAACCCAGACAATAAACATCAGTATCCCCTTAGCAGAACCAAAGCAACACGGGTCAGTGAGTTAGTTCAACACATATTACAAATGAAAGATCAATCACCACACACCCAATAATGATAACACAGAAAACATCAACAGTGATTCAAGAGTTACAGTTACAACGTGTCAGAAAAAAGAAACCAAAGTTTCATGTTGCACTCACAAACAAATCACAGCATTAAAGTTTCTGTAGTCTTTCATAGCAAAACAAAATGATTACCACACAGTGCAAAGACAGTTTTATCTTTTTCCTTTGTTTTCACCTGGTCACTTCAAGCTTTTGTTGTTGAGTTATTATTGTTTTATATATAATTTCTATTTAAACAAAAGGCATATCTTACTTCCACAGGAGGGTGGAACATACTACCACACCATGCTTAAATCATCAGGGGAACTCGGAAGAGTACTACTCTCTTCTTTTTTTCCTTTTTTTTTTAAACAATAACATTTAATTTTAGTACAGTTTCACCTGCCAGAGAAACTTTATTGTTTGTCCAGCAGACAGCTGCAGCAGGTACAACGTACAAGAAAAGGAATGGCTACATGCTGATTCAATGGCTGGGACACAGATTACTCATGTTTCTACTTATCATTTTGCCATGTCAGGGAACATCTTACTCCAAATGTTGAGTAAAGTTTTCTGGGAAAAGTCCTTTTTGAGCACCAGCTCCAAATGTTAACCAGTCGCTTTCCTTGATCCCTGTGAGCCAGCCAGCATCCTGCAGCAAACACACAAAAACATCAGAACAATCCTGTTAAGATGTTGTTTGTCATGTTGGTGAAGAACTTTTATTTATTACATTTCTGTGTGACCAGCTATTATCACCTGATCTTCCACTGAGGCAGTGGGAACCACCAAAACCACATCGCCTCTCTTCAGGTCAAGTTCATCTGAATTTGCAGCCTCAAAGTCGTGTATGGTCTCCACCTGCAGGTATCCATCATAGTTTACAGACATTAGACTCCACATTTTAACAGTTTATTAGAAAAGTCTTTTTCCTCCTCAATTGATAGCATAAAATATTTGCTTTTACTAAGAAGCCTCACCTTGTAAAGGAAATCATCAGGAAGTCCAGACGCTCCCCCAGAAGGACTGATATGCTTGATGTTCTGGTTTTCAGTTGTCACCCCATTGTCACTGATTGCAGTGGGAGAGATGATGTCAGCATCTCGGTCATCATCACCTTCGTTACTTGAGGCAGGCTCAATCACAACAGAAGGGATTGGCATATTTTCCTGCAGAGGACATTGAGCATTTAGTGATCACATCTAAAAACTTTCATTTCATATTTACAGTATCACAGCAGGTTACTGCTGCAGAGCATCTTGCAAAATGAAATGTCTCACTTAATTTCGCAATATTTTTCTATGGCTGAAAGACTTAGCTGATCTCAGCCCAGCAGGGCACTTTTACAGTTAATAAATTCAAAACAGAAGGCAGAGAGCCACAAACAAGCAGCAGCTGATTGTGCTGCAGTAAAGACCCGCAGAGCATCTCAAAAAGCAAACAACATTCTAGTGTAATGATTCTACAGGCCGTTACCAACTGCAAATGATTTGCTTTCAAGTATTAAAAACAATTCTTATATCTGAAATTATGTCAGTTTTTCAGTTTTGAGCCTTGGTTTAGACCAGGGGTCTGCAACCTTTAACACCCAAAGAGCCACTTGGACCCGGTTTCCACGCAAAAGAAAACTGGGAGCCGCAACTACTTTTTGAAATCTAAAGTGAAGATAACACTGTATATGTTGTTATTTTTACCTTTATGCTTTGTGTGAACAACTAAAGTAAGTAAGTAAAGTTTATTTATTAAGCGCTTTTCACAGACAGGCAGTCACAAAGCGCTGCACACAAATATTAAAATAAACAATACAATCAATAGACATTATACACAATGTAAAAGATCAAATGTAAATAATGTAAAGAATATAAAATACGTACAACAAAAGGCTTGTTTGAAAAGAAAAGTTTTTAACTGCTTTTTAAAAGAATCCACGGAGCAACTAAGGTGTGTTGCTTAAATCCATGAAGTGCTACAGAGAAAATTACCTTTTATTTATGTAATTAACACATTTTGAACTCTTAAAGAAATATAACAAAAGGAAAGACACCCAGCTGAACTAAAATGATCCAGCAAACAAAAACTGTTGTGAGCCGCCACCCTCATATCGCCTTTGGCTTTTGGAGCCTTGACCTGACTTTTAAAAAGTAACTGGAAAAAAGTACTATGCTGCTAAAAATGAAAAATAGATATTTGCAAAATTCTGCCTAAATATGTATTTTACCTGGTTAATGTGTGTGGCGGGGCGTGGTCTGCAGTGCCGCTGCATGGGAGTCGGACGCACCTGAGCGGCACCCGCAATCACGCCTCGCCGCCTTAAAGTCTGTGCTCTCTCTGCTGTTGTGTTGGTGTGTGTCGGGCTGTGAGCTGCAAAGCTACAGCCGGCTGTATGTGTACAGCAACCGTGTGTGAAAAGCGGTCAATAAAGAGATGCTGAAAATCAGAATCAGAATCAGAATACTTTATTAATCCCTGGGGGAAATTATTAATTAATTAAAGCTTGTTCATGCAAACATCGTCGGGTCTGCTGTGATATGTTTACAATGAGACTTGTGGTCCTGAACCTCTGCGCACAGCGTCTGCAAAACGAGGCTTTCATCTTCACGCAGGACTGTAAGCTGTCATCTGTGAGGCGTGAGTGGTGTTTGTTTTTAACGTAGTTCACGATGGAGAACAGCTGCTGACATAATGTGGATCCGAAGATCCATAACTGGCCCACCTGGGGTTGAAAGTCTCGATAAATGCACAGCGTTTCGGCGGGTACACCGGCTTCCGCGAGTGTGACGCTTATTTTGAGCGACGAACAAATAATACGATATAATTTTATTTTTATATTTCAAAATCACAGTAATCTCCCAATTTAGAACTACAAGTTAAAAAGAACTAAACACAAATAAAATACACTTCAGCTAAATACTTCTAATTTATTTTCCCAAACCACCCGGAGCCGCAAAATAAGGACTAAAGAGCCGCGGGTTTCCAACCCCTGGTTTAGACAAATTCCTCCAGTGAAAATGGGAAGTTGTGTAACAGTTAATGCATTACTTTTGTTAAACCCCTTGAATGAAAGCTGAAAGTCTGCACTTCAATCAGATCTTATTGTCCAATCTAAATTAAGGAACAATTTGTATGTTTGTAGAACACGCTGATATGACAATTTCAGCCACTCTCTCTCAGACACACACACGGGCATTGAGTTAAGTTTCATGATTTCTTCTGAATCTAAAGTGATGATGCTAGACTCACCGATGAAGCTGCTTCACTGGGAGAAGTTTTGGCCTGTTCAGCAGAAGCAATCTGTTTACAGACAGAAATCATTTCCATTTGAGAACATTTGTGTGGCCATTGAATGTTTGAACAAACATTTAATAATAACTTTTGCTCTTGTAAAATTAGAACTTTGACCTCCCTGTTCACATGTGAGAAAAGAGATATGAAACAGTGACCACCACCCTGAATTCAGCATGTGTAAAATCACAGAAAAAAAAAGAATTTTGTTTCAAAAAACGACCAACGTAGGGGTCAAACCATTATTCTTCAAGGTCTCTTTCAGAGAGCTGCATTCATTCTCATCATTTCATTTCAACACTTCATCCATCCTCTTCAGGGTCATGGGGGGGCTGGAGCCTATTCCAGCTGTCTTCAAGTGAGAGGCAGGGTACACCCTGCACAGGTCGCCAGTCTGTCCCAGGGCTAACACACAGATGCAGACAAGCATTCGCACTCACATTCACACCTATGTTGTTCAATAATTGTTGCCGATAAACAGTAAAAATGACAGTGAAAGCAAACAAACAGAAGAAGTGGAGTATCCTACCTCACTGACCTCTGCCTGTTCTGAGCCTGGAGATACCACTGTTGACTTTGGGAAAATAAAATAGATTTTGCGTTGATACCTGCTCAATCATCCAGGTAAGAAAATCCAAAAAGTTGATTCTGTTCATCTGGACGTTTTCAGTGGGAGAAACATTTTATTGTCATCCCACTGGAAACGCTATGGACATAGTCAACTTTTTGGGAAAACAGTAGAATATAACGATTTAAACTCAGTGATGCTAATTGAAAAGGCTTTTGTTTTTGTTTTGTTTCAAAAAGCAGCAGTGTTTTATGAGATTGAGTTCATTTTGTGTCATAAAGTGGATGGGGTAGGGTAAAGATTGGGGTATGGGTTTGTTGGCATGAAATGAGAAGGGCAAAGGGTTAAAATCCTTACACAAAAAGACATTTCATGCGCACTGGATACAGGCTGGAAACAGAAGAATGATTTCCACACTGACACATCTCCAGTGTGGAGTTCAATGATTTTCTCATTCAGTGATGATGATGATACGATGAGATGGAGGTCACAGTGATGATATTGATGAGATGATGATTAGGTTATCACAAAAGGCAGCATTTTTACAAGGTTATCCACTCACAGCAGGCTTTTCCTCCTTCAGGCTGTCTGAATGTGTGTCTGTATCGTCCTGACCAGCTGGAGCAGCTCCAGATTCTTCCACCTCACCAGCAGGGGGAGCTGGAGGTTCCTCCATCTCTGCTCCTGCAGTTGAAGATACAGGTTCCTCTCCAGAAAAAAGAGGTGGGCACTCATCTTGCTCTCCTCCAGTAGTGAGAGATGGAGGTTTGTCTTCTGCTGCAGGCTCTCTTGAGCCTGCAGCTTGGGCCTCTGCAGCTTCCAGAGCGTCATTTGATTCACTGTTTCCTTCATTCTTTTTCAGAGAAAGATGGCATTTAACTTTAAATGTCCCACTTCATTTCACAATATTTAGTATGATGTTCATTAAACGCCACAGAATTCATAATATGAGCTCCCAGCATTTAAACAGTTATATGATTACAAGTTAAGCTTTAGGTCAGTCTAACACTTTTCACTGGCAGAAATAAATACATCTCAGGACTGATATCATATATTTACATGATGTAAAAAAAAAAAGTACGTAGTTACCTATGTAGGTGATAAGTACATACATATGCAGCTCTGTGAAAAACTAAGTACACCCTTAATTAAGGAATTAGGAGGTTCCATAGCGGCCAGATGCTGAAGAAAATGCACCAGTTATGGTTGCTTATCAAGTGTGAGCACCTCTGTAAGAGCAGATCTTCTGGAAATTTGCTGGTTTGCACCATTCTGGTGTATGTTAACACAATGACACAATCTTCCCTGGCGTGGACATCACAGCAAATTTACCCCACCCCAACGTTAGATCATAGGATGGCTGTGGTTCAGTGGGTTGTCTAGCAGTCTGGAGGTCAATGGACGATTCCACAGCTATTTCAGCCTTAATGTCAAAGTATCCCTGGCCAAGATACTGAATTTTCCTCCAATGCATGCATTACAGTGTTTAACAAGGGATTTTGGCTTTTAAAACAAACAAACAAACAAACAAAAAACCCACTTTAATGAATGTGTGTGTGAGTGGGTGGATAACAGGGCTGGACTGGGACAAAAAAATCAGCCCGAGCATTTTGACTAGAGACCGGCCCACCGGGTATTAAAGCCATGAATGCCTTTGAATGAAAACAAACACTGTTGTGACAGTGATGTACAGTCTTGTTGGTATATGTATGATTTCTATACATTTTAGATCAGATAAAAACTTTGGTCTTTAAGATTCTGATCATTATATATTAAAGTGAGACATTTTAAATGAGAATAAGAAAGTGCTTCTTTGTGTCCTCCTCTCCCTGTTAATGCCCTACCTGGCCCCCTGGCAAAGCTTTGCTAGATCCGCCCCTGCACAGTTACCAGCTGTCAGCTACCTAAAAAAGGATCCTGGTGTTATTTGTCTCTCAGAAACAGTTCATAACTTCCCTTCAACTCATTCATGTCACCTAAAAGGTAAACCTGTTTCTCCATCACCTGTTCAGCTCTGATGATTCAGTAAGGACATCTCCTGGTTTCATCTTCATGTTTCCCTCTCACCACATATCCAAACCGACATCATGACCAGCAGCTTTACAGCTGTGGCTCCAGCAAACATCAGCTGATACTAGAAACTAATATTAAATAAATTCTAACAACAGCTGATCAAGCTTAAACGTGCTGCTGTTGTTTAGCGCGACATCCGCTGGTTTCCTCTTTCTGGCGCAAAGTGGGCGATAAACAAAAAAAGAGACGATCAGCTGATCATTGATCAGTTTCATGATTGAAGTAGCAACAGGAGAGGGAGGGCGAGAGAATGAGAGAAGAAACAGCTGACAGCGTGAAGACACAGAATAACTCCAGCTTTGTGTCATTTTTCCATTCTAGCTGAAGTCCGGGACAAACTGTTCCTTTTCAGCTCAACACGAAACACGTAATATTTTCTCTGAATACGAGATGATTCCGTTTTTACGGGATGGTTGGCAACTCTACTAACTAACCTTATGAGTAAAATACAATTCCTTATCAGTAACATCATAGCACCCACCCAGCTGTATATAAACTCCGTCATGCTAGCTAGTACGCAGTACAAGTTATTGTAACTGACTGTAAAAAGTCAGCACAGCGCAAAAAAACTCCACCTAAACTTGGTTTATATCTGACCCAGATACACTGCAGTGATAACTTCTTACCTGAAGTTCAGTTCACCTGACACTCGGACGTGCCGCCGCCTCGGGTCTCTCCTCCTCCTGCCTCCCCTTTCTCTCATCCACCTGCTGACTCTGTGGAAGCTCCGCCATAGCCACCACCAAACAACCGACTTATTTTTACACATCAGTCAGCATAAAAAAAAACTTTTAAAAAAAACATCGGCCCACCAGGCAAATGCCCGGTATGCCCGATGGCCAGTCCAGCTATGGTGAATACGGCTTGTAAGCAAAAAGCCTGCAGTGGTCAGCTAAAGCACAAAAGCAGTATGCAACTACAAGTCCATTTATCATTTACTGTGGGAAACTCCAAAAAAATACAAGAGCTCCATCTCAGACTCTTCAGTTTGCAGGTTTAAACTTAAACTTCATGACAGTATGACTAAAAAAAAGCCTGAGCATGCAGGACTGCAGGGGAAGGCTTCTTCTGTCTAAAAAGAAAGCCTCCTGGAGCAGTATCCTTCAGACAGACAAGACCAAAGTGGAGATGTTTGTCCATAACGCACAAAATCAAACCCAGCATATCAGCAAAAACACCTGAGAGCAGCTGTCAGCACGGTGGAGGAGGGACGATGATCTTAGTGCACCGTGAACTCTTGTCTAGGTGTTCTAGAGTCAGTGTGAGGCCGTCTGTCCCATAGCTGAAGCTCGGACCATCAGCAGCAGCACAAACATCCAACAGAACGGCTGAAACAGGAACGAATGGAGCAACTACGATGGTTTGGTCAGAGTCCAGAGCTCAACCTGAGTGAGATGCTGTGGTTGGACCTTCAGAAGGCTGTACATAAGTGAGTGGACATAAACTCCTTCACAGTGACAGAGAAAGTCCCACAGAAAGCATCACAGCAGGTTACTGCTGCTGAAAAATGAGGTGGATTCAGTTTTTCACAGAACTGTAAATAGGTGTGTAGATACTTAGTTAGATGGAAGATGGG